TGCGAACCCGGTTAACTACGTGAGAGTCCAGCAACATAGCCATTACGCTAACTGCTGGTTCCCTCATATACCAAATCTTGAAGCTGAACAAAAGAAAGTTTTGGTGATCATTTCCAACAATTTATAGATGAGGAACTGGAGGTTCAAAGATGGCCACTCACCAGAGCTTTCAGCCATCTTTTGTTGTTGTTGTTTGGTTCACATATTCCCCAAGGTCGAGGGCCTCCCAGCCAAAGATGGCTGTGATGACTTAGAAAATCAAACAAACAAAAAAAAAAAATCCCCAAACTCAAAGAACAACGCATACACGTGTTTAAGTACATAGCAGTCATCGAGTGACTTTGAGCCCCATAGTGGTAGTTACTCAGTTTCCGTGAGTATAAACAAAGAGACAGGAAAGTCCCCACTGCTGAGCACTCGGCGGGCGCCTGTTTGGCCAGGCGCTGGGGTATACAGAGGTAAGCAAAATGCTAGCGACCATGTTTCTGAACTTGTCTACAACGATGCATTTCTTCTTTTCATTTATTCATTTTTCATTCTAGAGGGTACACACGAGTACCAGAAAAAGAGACAGAGAGAAAGCCCTCCCCAGCACGGCCCGGCCATGCAGCAATCCCGTCCTTTCATTCCTCGCTCCTATCAGGTGAGCCACGTGCAGTGCAGTGCCTCCACACAGCGCTTTACCACTGCACCCTGGGCTGGGCCTACATGCTACACGTTCTTAAATAACATACAGAGCTTTCCAGAAATGAGCGTTGTGCCGGGAGAGAGGAGGAGGAGCATCACAATGACGTCACGGGCACCCATGCCTTTGGTTTTAATTAAACCAGGGATTTTCTAACTACGCACTCGAACTTGGCTTTGTACACTCGATGTTCAAATCACCGACTTGACTCTACGTATAAAATCAGTAGATGACAATTCACCTGAACACACATTTCCTGATTGCTTAGAGTACCCCAGGTCCTGTTCTGGACATGGAAGATAAGTGAATGATTAAGCTGTTTGGCTGAACGTGCTTAGGACCTAGAAAAAGAAGTGAATAGCAGGACCCCAGGGCGCGGACGCGTAGAGAAAGGCCAGGTTTCAAAGAGCAGGTGACATTGAATTTGGGTTCTGAAGGATGAGGATCCCTTTGCCAAGTGGACAAGGGGGTGAGGAAGGCATCCTAGGCTAGAAACAGCATTGCAAGGCCTGGAGGAGGCACCTCGGGGAGTGGGCAGAGTTCAAGGAGCGCCAGGGAGGAGCCCACCAGGACGGCAGACTGTGCACATCGCTTGGAGTCTCCTATCCGCAGGGAGAGTCAGGGACTGATTTTTCTCTCTAGTCCGTGTCGGTGTGCCAGCTGACTCCATGAACTGAGAGGTAAACTATGGAAACTTTTGAAGTGACCAGACATGAGGATGTACGGAATAGGCAAGCCTACAGGAAGATTAGGAGATGCCTGGTGCCGGAGAGAAAGGAGAATCTGGCGTGGCTGTTAATGGTACAGAGTTTCTTTATGGGTGATAAAAGTGTTCTGAAATTAGTGGCGATGGTCATACAGCCTTGGGAATAGGCTGAAAACCAGTGAAGCATGCAATTTAAAATGGTGATATTTATGGCGTGTGAATTATACCTCAATGGGAGGGGAAAAAAGAATCATCCAGACGAAGCAGCTGTGGATTGACCTGGCCAGGCTGCAGGAAATGGAGCACCTTGGCTGAGCACTGCTGCTGCCACCAAGCCTCCACTTCATGGCACTGGGTGGTCACCCCTACACTGGCAGTGAGAAAGCCTGCTGGACCGGCCTGGAGCTGGGGGTCTGTCCTCACTGCTGGGGACGCTGCCCCTTGGGACTAGCCATTCGGCTTCTCTAGTCGCAACCAGGACTCCTGGGCAGAGTACTCTTAGTCATTCTGAGCACTAACCATTAACAGCAAGGGACTATCACCTCGCCCTGGCTCCAGCAGAGGCTAAGAATGGAGACCACAGGGGTGCAGAAGTAGAGTTCAATGCGGTAATAAAATAGGCACTGGGTTTTTTGTTTGTTTGTTTCTGAGCGAATTTTGCTATAGGGCACCTGCACTTGCCAGAGAGACAGAAAGCAACAAATCACTCCCAGGAGGGATAGCCACACCCCATAATTTCTTCTCTAGCTTCTTCTCAGGGTTTTGGGCAAGCAGACAAATGTACTTGGCATGAGTTTCAAGCCGCTGGGTCCAGGACTTGAACTGGGGTCGACCACATGAGTCCAGTGCCTTAACCACTATGCCACCTGCTAGCCTGAGGCACTGTTTTTTAACAAATGTAAAATAATAGCTCGATCCTCTACTACAATGGAGGTATTCTTATTATCTCCAGTTTACAGATGAAGGAACTGAGGCGCAGAGTTTAAGCAACCCGTCTGGGTGCCAGGCAGGAGAGGCAGGGGTCCGCCACAGGCTTGACTTAGCCACGGTGCCACACTGCCTCTTGCTGCCTGGATTCAGCCACTGGGAAAAGCTAAATGGCTGGGAGGCTGACTTGTAGGTGAAGGGTCGGCTCTGAGCACTAGGGAGCAGACCTGGCTGCCCTGCAGAGGGTGGACGGGGTGAGAAAAAACTCATCCGAGTAGTTTATCCCTGGGATCAGTAACCCTGCGAATATCTCTAAAAGATGCTAAAAGTATCATCCAGAGAAACTAAGTACATGTCAGAAATCCTTTGTGACAGTTGAAATTAGATTGTTGGTGCCAGAAAGAAAGCAGGGTCCCGAGGAAAGACCTAATCCTGTTTGTTTCACTTACATCTGCTCGACCCCCAACTGCCATCACAGCTTCACCTGTGTCCACTTCCACGCCTGTGGCCTCTTCGACCAAGGACCTGCCCTTCCCAGAACCACCTGCAGCCCCAGTATAGTACTTGGGTTCCTCCAATCACTGGCGCTCGCAGGCTTAATGTCTTTGGGAAGCTGAAGAGTGCCCATCCCACGTGTGTCCTTGTCCTAACCTCTGGAGCCTGTGGACATGATCTGATATGGTAAAAGGGGTTTTCAAAAAGCCCAGGGAAACATGCGCTATGAAGAAACTTTGGGCCAGCCCGGTAACCTGGGGGCTAACGGAGCTAGATCTTACCTACATCTTACAGAGCCGGCTGCCCTGCAGATCCCGGCCCTGGCGGCTTGAAAAACACTCTAGGTAATTGGGCATTTGTGCTCCAACCCGGAAAGGATGGAGAAGAGAAGGGATGGTGGTGTGATCACATGCGATTGAGAGGTGATTTCTCCAGTCCTCTCTCTGCCTTTCTTTGGCGGATGCATTCACCTTCTGGAAACAGAAAGAAGAAAAAACCCACCATGCATAGATTCCAAAATTATTTTGCACCAACCACAAAAACTCATACTTGATGAGCCAAAAGATGTGATTAAGTTCAGGATTTTGAGAGGAGAGCCTGATCCTGGATTATCTGAGTAGGCAGGAAGCCAGTGATGAGACACAGGAGAGGAGGAAAGCGACTGCAGTAACACCGCGGGGGGACGGCGGGGCAGCCACAAGCCAAGGAAAGCCTGGGGCCAGGAGCCGCTGGGATAGGAGGGGACAGGCTCTCCCCTCCAGTTCCTGAAGAAGCAGGGCCCTGCTCCCTTCTCAGTTTTGGACTTCTGGCCGCCAAAACTGTGAGAGAATACCCCAAGAAGGGAACGGCAGGGCCCCATACACTCCGGCTTCTCCTGACCCGGAGTCACCTGCACGGCCAGGTTGGGCCCAGGACTGAGGCACCCGGGGCCTGTGCAGGTTTCCAGCTCCCCTGTTCACTTGCCCTAGAAATGTATCGCAGTGTCAGAGAAGGGGCTTCCTGAACTCTGTGGCAGGGGGGGGGGGGCCGTCCTTCCCAGGCTGGCCTTGGGCAACGTCTGTCAAGAGCCCAGGCCCTGGGCAGGCTGCCCTGTGGCTGAAAGCCCACTGGGACCCTGCTGGAGACCCGGGATGAGCAAGGAGGGGCCCATGGCTCACCTGCAGTGAAGGGGTTGGCTCTCCTGGGGATTTTGTTCCTGACCTGGGCGCCCCCGCCCCCCCCGCCCCTGCAAGGTACTGCAGGGCTGTTCCTGCTCTCTCCATTTACCCCAGGGATTCTCCAGTGATTCTCAATGGGCTGACAGAAAGCAAGGGGCCTCAGACCAGAGAATCCCCTGCAAAGGGGTGCGAAAGGAGCCACGTGGCCCTGCCAGCCCAGGGGCACCTGCAGCTCAGGTACCGATCGTCCGGGGCGCCTTCCTCTCACCCCAGGCCCCGCTCCCATTTTGGCTGACTCCCACATCTCTGGAGTTCTTCATCCGGCGAGTCCTGCCGGAGGGCTGGTCGGGGGTCCGCAACCAGGGCTCCAGCAGGAGCAGCAGCGGCGGCGGGCCTGCTTTGGCCAGGAGTGGAGGCGCGGATCAGGCTGAACCCTTCGCCCTGCGGGTTCCCGCAGGTGTTAACGGCCGGTCCTCGGACCCCTGCCCAGGATGCTCGGGCGAGGGCTGCAGCGGGGCACCCCTGCCTTTTCTTCCAACCAGACCGGAGAAACCACCTGCCCCCCTCCCACGCCTCGCCCTCAGCTCTCTGTTTGCCCCGAAACCCTCCCTCCCGCTACCGGGGCAGCCCCCAGCTCTAGAAGAACGCCACCCCTTATCCCGCACACCGAAATCTCGCTCGGCCTCCGCCCGCGCCCCCTCTCTGCGGGGCACGCCCTTTCTGCCGCCCAGTTCCCCAGGCACCTCCGGTGTCCGCCAGGGCCGCGACGCCGAGCCCCACCCCTCCCCCTCCGGGACCCGGGTCCGAAGGGCT